GTAGTCTGCTTTTTGTTACCGAGTGTGATACAACGCTTTTCCCATACGAACCCCTGCGTCTTCGTATCCAAAAGCGTCCCCTCCGTTCCATACCATGATTTGTGGTGATTTGTGGCCCTTCTCGAATTATTTCCATAAAGGTGATGTTTGTGCGAGCACCGGACTCAGGATTAATGAAGTGGAGAGTGTGGTTAACGGTCTCGTATTAGTGCTCTTCTGGCATATGCTTAATGTTAGTGTATGAGGCCCAGTATCCAGACACTATAGTTCTCCCAGGTACAATATGTTGAGTGATCAGTTGAAGAACGATTGCAGCAACTCGTCGTTCCACTGGAACGATGAAATACTCATCGCTCTTTCGGTCAACGCCACCAAAACGGTACTAATTCTATAGTACCCTACCCTTATCGCACGTTCTTTTGATAAAGGGCGTTTTGTCAAACTCCGGTACTTTATCAGAACCCTTAATCGTTAACGCATTCCTCCTGAATTACTTTGTGCAGAGATCTTCAGAAGAGGTGGAACAAGATTGAGAGGAACTGTTTCTTTGACTATGTGATCATGCAGAACACTTGACTGCACAGAATTACATTATAGAGTTGCTGAACTCAGAATCAGAACTATCAGCACTAAAACCTTACACGCTGCCACTATGCCAAACTCCCCCCACCAAACGACCGTTTTAAGATGTATATAACTAAGCACAAAGGAAGCGACTGCACAGCCAAGCTGCACTCCGCACAGCTGTTATCCAGTCCCTCTTTGCCGATCCCCCCCTCACTGTCCCCTTCTTCAACTTTCCCGCAGAAGAGCAGCTAGTCAATTAGCTCGCTGGGGCTGGTAGTCTGCAAGAATGTCCAAATGTCTAAAGTGTATTCTGCCACTCTACTTACTCCGTAATTCTAATATAAATCTTGTAAAAAACTAGGATGTTCTATAAATTTCTATAAGTTTTTAAATTAAGAAATTTTTATATTTGTTCACAGTCGTTCACAGTTTACTAGATAATCACTTCCGATTTCTTTTTAAGTTAATACTATAACTTTCTACCTTTCGCAACACAACAAACAAATTTTCTACCATTTTCTACCTTTTCTAAATTATTTTGACAGATTTTTAGCACTCAATAATTGTAAGAATCTTGGTCCCCTCTCTCATTTTAATGATTTGTTGAAGTAAGTATGATTAATTACAAGAGTTTAAGCTAAATAATGTTTATCCGCTTTAAAATTATTTCACTAAATTTAGCATATAAATTTTAAAACTATCCCTATCTCATCGTTTTTCCAACATAAACTTTCCATTCTGCTGCAGCAAGTAAATTAGCGTTAAAAGATAAAAATGAAAGAACACAAAACACAGTATTGACCGTAAAAATTGGAATTTTTCAAAGATACCTACCAGCGATATAATTCTCTAAGTGTTCAATATATTCATATAAAGTTACGTTTCGCTGATGTTGACGGCAGATCCGAAAATATCCCATCGAGTACGTAAATGCAACGTCCTGAATTTGTCCGTTAAAATTAAGAAAAGTTGAGACCACAGTAGTTTTTTTCATTGTAACTAAAGACATGCTTGTGACTCGTAGTTCTGTTCAAGATCTTCAGTTAGCTTTTTTTATTGGTTTTTTAAAAAATAAAACCACAGAATATGTTGACGAAAATGGCATATCTCCCATTCATTGAAAAAATGATCTTTGCCTTTTTTTTGACGGTTAATACAAATGTATGCTTTCCTTAATGTTCCTCGCTCGTGTTTTCTTAAACTTCCTCTACTCTTGTCAAAACAAAAAATTAAATTTCCAATTATTTTGCTTAATCTATTATTTTTTTTGCCATTATTTAGACAAAAATTTGGATGAACTGTTTTAATATCTGAGAAAAACAAAAAAAGAAAGACTGAAAGTCTAGCATGAAAAGAAGCAAAGAAGGAGTGTGATCAAAAACAGCAGATACTGCTACCTAGATATACAAGAAACTGAAGAATTTTTTATTACTCTCACGTCACTAGGATGAGATTTTAGAAGAACTTATTTTTATGCAGTCAAAAACTTCTTTTAATGAAATTTATAAAAGAAGTCGATGAGTAGAAGAATACCATAATAGAAGAATAAAACT